AACAATAAAATTCGAGCTAACGAGTCAAGAAAACTCCCCAGCAAATCCCTAAAAAGTGGTATTTATACTCTAAATCTGGCCTGTTTTATCAAGTAAAAAGTGATTTGATTAGTTACTGTCATATTTCAACTTCGATGCATGTGAGTGTGTCTGTGTCTTTTTGTGTTTGTTTATGCAGGAAACCCGTAGTGATGGCTCAAAGTAACGTCTCTTTTCGGGCATCAACATTTGATGACCCTATCTCACCCTTTCTACAAACAGGTTATAACCATCACTCCGATTGCGCAAGGTCGGAGACACGGTAGGTGCCAGATTATCCAAAATGAGCGGCATCATTGGATCGTTGACTTGGTACATGCGCAGACGTTTCGCCGGCATTGGCACAGAAACGTGCCATGCTCATCAAAGAGACAATTGAAGACAATTCTCTGTTCAACCGTCTTGGCATCATTCCACGCCCCCATTTTTTTACATACCTTCTGGTGTTGCATCTGGTTCTCTCAACGCCACGTCATATCGCCCACTTGGTCATTCACACAATTCCTGCCATTTTTGGCACCAATTTGCAATTCATCGAAGAGACAAAACAAAAACAAAAACAAAAACATACTCGTCTCTCAGACTGGTGCTCAAAATGGCAAGGGTCACTGGCGATGCCAGCGAAACGTGTGGAAATTTACCAAAACCACGGTCCGAAGCTGGAAAGTATCAAAGAAAGTCTGGTGGAGGACTCAGACGAAGTGCCTTCAACCAGGTCGGTTTGACAATACGAAACAATGTTGAACCAGTAAGATGACAGGAATTCACCCTATTTCGTTTAAGGTGTGAAGGACTGGTAGTACAATTTTCCCACAATCACGTGAGTAGATCTGACGCTTCCATTCAATTTCACATTGTCTTGCTTTCCCAAAAGTTGTTCTCATTCCGGCTGGGGTGGACTGCAGTTTCGACCTCGCATCGGTCTTAGCAACACCCTCAGCGGGAGTCGAACCGTGACAGTGCAGGATGGTATCATGACACGTTCACAACTCAACCACATTGCCGCGAGTACCCTTTTGTCACAGAGCAGATGTGAATTTCAAGGAAGATTAGGCCTTTTTGCTATATCATATTCTTTGGTGGAATTGTCGATGAAGCAAACGTATGTTTGCTATAGCAATCGACTCTGTTACTTATTAATGTATTTGAGTAGAGTTGCGAGACTACCAGTAAATCATTCATATGAAATGTATTTACCTAATTTTGTTTAAGGTGATGAAGGAGTGATAGTACAATTTTCCCACAATCATGTGAGTAGATCTGACGCTTCCATTCAATTTCACATTGTCTTGCTTTCCCAAAAGTTGTTCTCATCCCGGCTGGAGTGGACTGCAGTTTCGACCTC